TAATGGTAAAAGTTTGTATAGAAGTAAAAGAAAAAATAATTATAAACCATACCATAACCATGGTACAAAGTGTTGTAAGTGAAGAGAGAGTATTAAGAAGCATAACCACCAAGCCTCCGCCTTCAACAGTCTCAATAGTTCTTGCAAGGATATTGGGTGTCAAAGCCTCAAAATCCTAAATACATGCAAAATAAAGAGAGAAAAATGTCACGTGGATAAGTCATTATAGAGTAAGACAATTCGTTCTAATAAAAAGTACGTAGGGCCTAAACCTGCAAAACACACATCCCATAGGTATTTCCAAGGATTCGCTCAGAGTCCTTGTATAGACAATATGATAAACCTCCACTTTCACTAAAAAGTAAAAATGGATCCACTTTTTCAGGATCAAGAAGCCCCCTCTGCATCAACTTTTTCACCTGCTTCGCTCTTTTTATTTTATGGCTGCATCCCACACAAAAATATTCCAATAAGTGAAATTTTCATAAGTAGTAATATTTAAATGTTTTTTTTTTTATAAAAAACAGAATATATTAAAACAAAAGGAGAGAAACAACCAGGTCCTCCCCAAGAAAGCTACCACATTACAACTTGCCAATCACGGGAAAGTAAAGCTAGACTATAATTACAAAAGAATCTCCTATGAGTTAGGCACCATGAAGCTGTAGTAATTTGTACATTTTCACAAAAAATATCACAAGGTATTAGGGAATCTTCACTTTGAAGATCCGTTGATTTCTTTCCTTCCAAAGACTCCAAAAACAGGCCCTACCTGCACAGCTCCACAGGACCTTTGCTTTTCCACAGGCCGTAGTAGTAATATTTAAATGTTTCTCATAACAAAAAAGAAAAATGATTGCAACAATTGTTATACCCTCAGCCCTTATACTTTGCCAATCTTCAGGAGTTGCTTTTCTAATTTCACTATGACTTGTATCCTTCAACTTTTATAACAAGATTATCGATCATTATAGCCAATTTTTCTTTAACACAATTGTGTGAAACTTATTGTTTATTTTCAAGATCCTATTATGAAAACAGGGATCAGGCTTCAAGTCTTTCTCTAGCTTTTTCATAAATCTAGCTTGAATTTGATGCAAATGACAGTTATGACCATGAAGCTACGTTCTTACTTTCTGGTTTAAGAGGGAAAAGTACCCATAAATGTATAAAGCTCTGTTTTGTACACAAAAAACTAAAGCATTCTTTTTCTAGCAATATCTCCAACATAATTATTACTTGCTACATTATTTCATCAAAACATCTACAAATGTGCACAAAGTTACATTCTTAAAAACAAAGTTCACGGAATCAAAATAAATATTCCAAAAACCTGCTAATCTCTAATTTGTTCTTGTAACACCATAGGACAGTTGGACGTGCTTTCACGGCTGCCTTGCTTAGCAAATAATGTATATTAACCACCTGAACAACAAAGAATCAGTATTTCCCAGAGATATAAATATTAGGAACTTTGATTATATATTCAGAAAGAACGATATTAGTTAGTGATTTATTTATAAACAAGGATAATAACCTGATCACGAGCTTTATTACCAATTATAACAAATAGTGAACGATATCTCATAGTCACTCCATTCTGAATCATGGTGCGAATTCGATCATCCACCTTCTTCCTCATCTTTACACCTAACAAGAAACATGATAAAAATAAATAAAAAATAAAACATCAAACATCAAACCCATGATAATTTTCTAAAAATAAAAATCATATATTTTAAAAACACATTGTTATACACTTATTCTGATGAAAAAATTTTGATTAGAATAACAAATAACAACTAGATAAAAAAATATATATAAGCAACAAACAGACACATGCGGATAATACACGAGAAAAGTGCAAAATTCTGTTTGTGGGTCACACAGAAATAAGGACAAATTCAAAAAGGAATATAAAACAAAAACAATGGTAAAATAATCGCATAGTTGCAGGCAAGTGGGAATTAAATATTATTTCGAGGTCAAGTTCGTAAAGTCAAAGGCCACCATCACTATCAAAGACATTAGCCATCAAAAATCAGGAAAGGGTACAAAATTATCAAAATGCTTTAGCCATACCAGTAAAGCAGCAGTAATGGCACTAGGGATCCTTGAAATTTCGGCGAGCGGAGTGAGAAGAGAGAGAAAGAGAGAGTGCGAGGGTTAGGGTTTGGCAGAGGGAAAAGAAAGAAGCTTAAATTAATCATTTTGATATTTAAGTAATATATTATATAATCTCCATTCTCCCTTTTCTTTTTGTCTCTGTGTTTATTTTTGTACATAATCTAATATTTGGATTTTTTAGGTTATTCGAACCCCTTTATGCGGCATAATCCAATATTTGTACTAGTAAAAGAAAATCCAATTTTTGTATTAATTAATCAAAATCTTATTTTTCTCTCCATCTTCATCTTCTACACTTTCGATAGTATATAATTTTCAGAGCATTCTAAATCCAAATTGTTGCTAAGGTTGTGATTATGTTAGCATAATTTATTTTATACAACCATAATGTATCGTTATTCCCTTTTAACTTGGTGATATATGATGTGCAAGGTAAAGAACAATAAACATTCTGAATTTAACCAAACAGTAATATCTTCAACATTTAAGCATCAATATTCACCTTAAAATTTCATGGCTCCTATGGATGGGTTTATCTCATGCTCATTGAAAGAATAGAAGAAAAGTTACAGCCCCATAATTGAGATGAAGCAAAGCTATAAGGATTCTAGAACATGTCCACTAGGTAATGGAATCCTAGCCTTCTTGTCTTCTTCCTTGATGTTGATCTCCTCTCTTCAAGAAAGAATCTTCTCTCTGATTTCCTCCCATATTCTTTCTTGGGATTGCCCTGGTGGGCACGGAAAATTGATCCAAATGACACGTTGGTTTTGGTTTTCTCAAATAACTCATCTCTCCAAAATTGTTTTTCTAACTTATTTGATTTTGTTATTTTGTGATATTAACCTTGTTTATTTGAAATTGAAATTGAAATCGAAATCGGAAATCAAATTGTTTACTTTTATTTAAAATCGAAATCAGACATAAGATATTAGTAGAATAAGCTAATATATTTATAATTAATTTAAAATTGTATTATATTATTTAAAAGAATTTTTAAATAAACCTAGTTGGTTGGAATTCAAGCTAACAAAACAATATTATTTAAATATTAACTCCAAAACCATTGTAATTTTTTTTTTTGAACTTTTCATTCTATCTATATATTTTAATACCAAAATTATTCATAGATTTTTTTTCTTAATCTAATTAATACTTACAAATTGCAAATTTTGTAAAAAAGAAAATAGAAACTTTTGTGGGAATTTGTAAATTACAAAACATAGAGAAATAAAAAAGAAATTAACTTTTGTTTAAAAAAAAAAAAACTTAAAATCTTTTAAGCTAATTTGTATATTTCCTTCCAATATTTGTTTCTCCAACGACGTCTTCGTTCATATCTGATGTCCCACGAGCAAAYGACGACCCGCTGTAGTGTTGTATTCTACCCACGACCCCTCAACGACCCATAAACCCGCGGCCAGACAATTACGTTTTCAGCTATAGTGTCAATTTTTGAAAAGCGGATCTTTAATGTCAGTTTAGAAGTGACATCA